AGTTAATGATGATGGGGAAGGAAGATGACTATTTTCAGAGATCGAGAGCTGTGCGGACAGGTCCGCCACCACGCTCGCTCGCACACACTCACCCTCACACTGGTTCCTCTGGGATGATTGCTGATCTCGGCTCTTGGGACATTCTCATCTTCCTTTCTTTCAGTTACGTTAAGTAATTTCTGTAATCTTATAATACAAATTGTAAGTATCAGGATAATATATTTGGTGAGCATTTACTTTATACAGGGCAGTCTACTAAGGTTAGACAATTAAAGGTATTTTATTCTGATTTTTTCCCATTACACATAGAGTGCTTGAAAAAAGTGGACAGATCTTAAGATATTATTGGAAATTTTAAAATATTACTAAAAAAAATATTTTGGCAGCAAGCTCTGACACAAAGATTATCTTATTGAATGTGTCATGGTAGATGGAGGAAATGAGGAGTAACTGCAGGAGTCTGGGACTTGTCGGTTTGAAGCCATTTTTATCAGGAACTAAAATGAGTCATTAGGGAATATAGCAAATATCTGATTCCTTAAGTGCCACAATATTCTGACATTAAAATTCTTATTATAATAAATATTTCCATTATTTAACTATATAGCAATATCTTTAATACAATATGCTTAAAATAACATCTCTAGGTTTTTTTGAAGCCTTATCATGTATCAGAGAATAAGTAATTCCCCCAATGAATACTTGATATTTTAAACATATATTGAGCGTCTCCTCGGTGCCATGCATAACCACTTGAGATTATGATGATGAATGTGGGGAGAAGGTGACTGATTGGCCTAAGCTGCCATTCATCTCTTTACCTAGTATCCTTGGTGACTAGGAGTTTGGTGCCTGGCCCAGGGAGCAACTTGTGGGTTTAGAATAGAAACCTATTATGGGCTGAATGTCTGTGTCTGTCCCCCTCTTCCCCTGGTAATTCATATATTGAAGCCCTACCCCCGAAGATGGGGCCTCAGTGAGGTAATTGGGATTAGATGCGGTATGAGGGTGGAGCCCTCATGATGGGATTAGTCCCCTTAGGAAGAGGCAACAAAGAGCTCCTTAGCAAGGTGGCCGCCGCCTACAACCAGGAGAAGAGGCTTCAGAATGAAACCTCCCTACCTGGAATTCCCAGTCTTCAAAACTGTGAGAAATCAGTTTCTATTGTTGAAGCCCCCATTCCGTGGTATTTTGTTATGGCAGCCGAGCAGAGTGCCTCACCTGCAGGTGAAGTACACTAGCCCAGGTTGGGATTACAAGTTATTCACTATTTTGACCACCATGCTCTACCAGGGGAGTCCAACCTGCAGTGCACGCGGCCGCGTGCAGCCCAGGATGGCTATGAATGTGGCCCAATACAAAATTGTAAATTTACTTAAAACCTTTTTTTTTGCTCATCAGTTTTTGTTAGTGTTTGTGTATTGAATGTGTGGCCCAAGACAACTCTTCTTCCAGTGTGGCCCAGAGACGCCAAAACGTGGACAGTTTCACTACTTGGAAGGAACTACCAGTTATTAATTACAGAAAGGAGCAAACAAAAAATGTTCCTCCCTAGACTTTCTTCATAAGTAGAAAAGAAACCCATTTAAGGGTGTTTTCTCCCCTTACTTGAATAATAAATGGATAAAAAACTGTGAATTCTATACAGTGCCTCCAACTGATGAGAACATGATTTCACCATCAATTTGGCTCTATCTCCTAAATATTTCTAAACTTTATAATTTGGCCATTGAAGAAAGATGAATTCTAGCTATAAAAGTCAGTTTTTTAATAAAATTCTTCTGTTAATTAACTGGAGATGTTATAAAAAGCAGCATTTAAAAAAACATTTGTTAAGCTTTTTAAAATCAGTAGCCAAAATTGTTGGGGAAACGATAGTAAGAATAATGATGCTATTTCCAAGTTATTTATAGCTATAGAGTCACATCCTTATAATGTCCAGTGCTTGGTTCAATTACTATCTCTTAATATTTTTAATTTATTATCATAATTCATTTTTGAAGAGAGTAAATACTTGATTTACTAGCATAAGACCAATAAATACTTTAAATGAAATGGTCAACATTGGGATAAAATCAAAAGAAACACAATATAATTTTTACAGTTTGTAGCAAGTTGAACTAAAAATTTAAACTGAAACTGTTATATTCCTGAATTAATGTTAATAACTAAAAATATTTAGTTTTTTATTACTGGAAAACTACTTAAAGAAACTGCTGTGGAAGGAAATTAGTATCTAAAATATAAAGATAAATTAGGTAACATTTATGTTACCTTCTAACACTGACATTCTTTCTATAAGAATTTCAAAGAATTCTTTGATCTACAAATAAAAGAGGTAATGATTTGTCCAGAACTCTGATCTTGGTCATATATGTTTAGAGCTTTTTAAAAATGAACATTCGGGATTTAACTAAGAAGCATGTTAAAAAGGAAAAAAAAAAAGTCTTATTCTGCTCACACATTTATTCTGCTCACACATTTATCCATATGAGCATGAAAAACCACAGTCCTGGCCAGGAAATTCAGCTGATTGGGGCGTCATTCTAACACACTAAGGTTGCAGATTCAATCCCCAAGCAGGGCACATACAAAAAACAATCAATGAATGCATAAATAGGTGGAAAAACAGATTGCTGTTTCTCTTTTCTCTCTCTCCCTGAAGTGAATAAATGAAATTTTTAAAAAACATAAATAAAACAAAATGGAGTAAAGAAAAAAACCCATAATTTTAAATTTCAATTGTTTTGTAAATAGTTATGTCAATTCAACAATTGGGTAAGTTTCTCTACACAGTAAGTCATTATAGTCCTTTGCATACAGTAGGTGTCATATGTCTGTGAGTATATTTGTTTAGCTAAGTGAATTCAAATTAATTTTCTATTTTCAAACCTATTAAGTATAAGAAAAAGTATATGAAGTATAACTTTCTAAGAAATGTAGTATATTTTAGTAGTCCTAAATAGGTCATATAAGATTCATAATTCAGTTAGAAAAGAGAAAAAGAGAGAATCAAATAAACCTCTGCAAAGAAAATGAACTAAATCTTATACTTTTAAAAAGTATAATGATTTTAAGGTAATTATGTATATTCAGAATGTAACCTTAAATACCAAACTATCAACTCTAAACATTCAGATCCCAGGAATTATTTTTTAAGACTGTAAGATGAAGTTTTGTGTGTGTGTGTTTGCAATAAGTGTTCAAAATTCACCTTGAAAACTCTTTAGTTGCAATGATCATATAGATGATTTTCCAAAAGAGATCTGAACAAAACTTTTGAGTCAGTAGCCCAATTCCACTGCCACCAAAGATAAAATACTACTCAGTGAAATGTGTTTAGAATGAAATAGAATCATTTTTAAATAAATGATAGTTAATAATTGCTGAAACCTTTCATATAAAACATATATACAGATACAATAAGAGTTATAACAGATTTATTTTTAATATTTTTATTGAATGATTTTTAACCAATTCCCATTAAAAGAATATACACTTGTATTGAATTTCAGCTATTTTGGACACCATTTACAAAATCATTTTATCATAATCTGATCAAAATATTCCTTTGCACACTAGTCAAGGATTTAACTCCCCATTCACAAAAACAATAATAATAACAAATAAATTTGAACTCTGGCACAATCAGTGACTTACATATGTCCTGAAAGAAGGGAGTGTGTGCCCTAGAAACCACCAAGAGGAGCAGACCAAAGGTTAGGCTTGCAATGCCTGAATTTTATGGTTCACTCAACTAGGAATCACTGAAACCCTTTAAAAATAAGGGCCTGAACTAATGCCCTTTTACAGCCATTCAGCTAATCCCTATCTCTTCATTCAGGAAATATGCATCAAGTGCCCCAGGGCAGCCCTGGGCTCTCTCTGTCTCCTTAGCTCTGTGACGGCTGGAGTGAGTGGGCAGCCTTGGTCCCTAATGAAAATAATCAGAGCCTTCTTTTAAAAACTATTCTTAAATTATATTCATTTTAAAGAATTTATTTAAAATTACTAATCAGCGAATTCGCTAAAATAATATGCTTGTGGCCCTATGAAGACAGCTGAATTTTGTCAAGGAGGAAAAAAGGCTCTCCCTTGAAAAAGACTAGAATTGCTTGTCCTAAAAATATCCTACCTCAGACACAGGGGACTGCGTAGCATCAACTGATGGGCCTTTCCCTTCACGATCATTTTTAACTGTGGGGCTGCCTTCCCTATGCATGCATGGGAAGTCCATGTTTTAAACACTAGTTAAATAAACACTTCAGATCTTAAAAAGTCTCAGCCTCCCTATTTTTACACTAGGTTTATTTCATGGAACAAAGTATTTCTCCCATTTTAAATAATATACACTTCAGTTGATATTTTTCAAAGCAGTAAAGTAGTTGGTAGTTTTGTTTGTAAAGCTATTTTTATGATTCTTTAAAAAACAAACAAAAACAAACCCAACACTAAAGTTTCTCAGATCCAAGAGACAACCATATAAACACTGAGGGCATGAACTGAACGGGCCATCTCAGGGTGGTACTGAACTTTTGTCTCTAACTTGATTCTAAATATTACTGTCTAACTCTGTATATGCAGTTTCACATTTCATATGCAACTGGCATCCTATTAGATTCTTCTTACAGTAGGACCCTGAGAATAAGTCCATTGAGAAATCACATTATTTATAGTACCAGCTTGAAGTTTTAGAGTGTCCAAGTTTTAAGAAGACAGAAAGAAACAAAATTTTTTCCATTAACCAAACGTACCACCGTGTAAAGAAGAATATATATACTTGGCATTGAAATGCCCATCTAGTTTCAGTATCTTTACCTAAACACTTTTTAAATGTAGGAAAATCTCCTAATTTTGAAAAAGTACATTTATAAAAATGTTGAAATGCTATTAATAAAATTCAAGTTCAGGCAGAACCTGTGAAGTTATCTTGCTACAATAATCACAGCTGGTTTTCTCTCTGCGATTTAGATCATCCATGGCCTGCTTTCAGAGTTCTGTTATCCATAAGTACAGTTGGCATCACCTCCGTGAATCCAGAGGCAAATCTGGGCATACTTGAGGGGAGTGATGCGCACAGCCACGTTGTAGTCCTTCTGAGCACCGTGGACATCCACCCACTGGTGGCCTGAATAGACCGCAATGATTTTGCGCTTCCAATTCTTTTTGTCTGGCTCTTTCAGACGCAGATAGACCCCGGAGCCAGTGGAGCCCGACTCAGCGTCGCAGTATTGGTAGAGCAGATCGTTGGACTCATCGGACACGCTACAAAACCGGTACACCAACTGATCTGCTCTATCGTGATCGAATCCTGAGAAGTGGATCATTCCACCTGGCAGCTTTTTGATGGTTGGACTGATTCCTAGTTCCATGTATTTCTTTTTGTGAGCACGCTTCAGCTCCAGAAGAGCATAGTCATAGTCCAGGGCAGCGGCCCCACTCCCTCCTGCAGCCCAGCCTTTGGGGATGTGGGTATTCTTGACCCGGGTCCACTGGAAGGTGGGCTTGCCCTCACGGACTCTCTGACCCCGAACAAATTCCTTTCTTCTTCTTCCAGCCTTGGCTGTCTCCTTCAGATTCTCTTTGCTACCCTCTCTTTGGTCACCAACAGTGGCTTCTCTCCTGCTTCTCTTAGAACCCCTACGTTTCTTGCCACCTCCTTTGTTTCTCATCTTCAACAACCCGACCCTAAGCTTTTTACTCCCTTTGATATAGTCCTTCCCATCATGAACACAGTGGGCAGCTGTTAGAACATGACGGGGGGAAATGAGAACGCCGCTGCAGCCGGTGGAGAGCTTCACCGCTGTATTGAAAGGGAAATTGGTTAAGAATCTTTTGTCCAAGATGCTGAACCTGCTGTCTGTGCCATACACCTGTCTCTTTCTCCTAACAGGGGCTGCTTTGGTGGTGATATTTGGCATTGGCTCAAGAACCAGACCTTGAACTTTCACTCTGGTCAAGGTTCGGGTGCCATTCTCAAAAACAGTCTCGTAGGAAAGCGAATCTTCCAAGTCAGAAAGGCTGGGAGCTGGGAGTTCTTTCTGACACTCAATGCCACACACGGTCTTCAACACCATCTTAGCATCTGCCTCAAATGTGGGGCTAGTGAGATGGACAGTTCTCTCACCGACAACCCGGGGTACTTTCCTCAAATGCCACATAAAATCCTGTTCCATCTCTGATCCATCAATGAGAGTCCACCCAAGGGTGAAAAATATCAACCAAAATGGCACACTTTCCATTTTGTTCTTCTCTTTTGTCCTTAAGAATAGAAAAAGAAAGAGAATCTTTACAATGTTTCTTTTTAAATGTTACTTACCCATGTCATTTATGCCTTGGGTCCTAAATATACCTTGACCACCAATAAGAGTCCTTACTTTCACTATACTTAGGTTTTATTGCAATCAAACAACCTACGGAGTAAGTTCATAGAGATTTCCAAAATCGGCACACGGCGGTTCACCCACCCTCCCCTCCTGCAGCCCTAATCATCTCCCGCCACCCCCACCTGCCATCTCCGCCTCCACCTCCCCAGACAACCGCCGTGTGAGCTAGGAGGACGCGATGGCTACCGGGGGGCCCAGGTGCTAAGTCGTGCTCCCTTCCTACGTCTCCTGTACCCTTATTTCCAGATGATTAGACAGAGAGATAGCAGCAGATGTTCTGCATTTTCCCTGCACTTGGCTCCTTAAAAGCAGAGGCCATAAAATTCCTCATCTCTGGAGTGTAAGTGCCTAGCACAGAACTCAAAACACATTCATTAGAATGCAGTGAATTTCCCTGAACCATGGTTTGCAGACCAAGCTGATGACATAGTTGAAATCACTAGATACTCTTCTAAAAGCAGTAGAGGTTTTTTAAATAAATAAGTGGGTTAATCTGCTATTGACTGGTTTGACCTTTACAAGCAGAACCCCTTAACATAAAAAGAAAATATGCATAGGCCATTTATTCTAAAGTAAGAAAAATGTACCCTGCATTTTTTTTAAGCAATGTTATACCTGGAACTATCATCTAATCAAAGCAACATACAAAAATGCTTCTCAGTGGGATTTTACTGCGTTAAAATTAGTTACAAGAATTTATGGAGCCCAGGCTATGATTCTGAATTGGCCACTTGGGGGAACATGATCACTATTAAATATAGTCCCTTTCATCATGGGCCTCACCATCTAAGAGCAGTGTTTCTATGTTAGGCATTTTAAAATTGTCAGTACTGATAAATCATACATTACCTCTTCTAGTGTTTACATCTTGTCATCTTTTCCTGCTTCTGTAGGCTCGCAGGTATCTAAAACCATGTAGTAGAACTGGCGTTTGTCAGTTGCTGCTTTGTGAGGGTGGGGAGAATGGTAACACTTTGGGGAGCAGTAATTTTGAAATTTGTAAGCTATGCTCCAAGTCATTTTAAATTAAAAGCTAAAATATCCAGGCTTAGCAAATGATTGACACTTAGTATAAAGCAGAGGCAAATTCAAGGTTACATTATTCCTACAATACTTTGACTCTCAAAGCTTTCTGATCAACTTTTTTTGGCGGGGCCAGGGCAGGGAGCATGGAAAACAAAAGTAATAAAGAATATTAGGAATGGTCGTCAACCCAGGTACACCCATAGGATCCTGTGCACTGGCATGAAAACCAAAAGGTGTCTCTGATGCAGAGCTGAATGCAGGCATTATTTGATACAAAAGAATTCATTTTGTCATATACGAGTACAGAATTTTATTAATGAGCTAATAACATTCCTTTGATAAAACAAACGTATATTCTACATAATCTCTTTATTGTTTAACATGATATACTAAGCAAAATATGACATAATTAATTTGAATCACCATACATTTGAACATTTAAACAAATGTATAATAACCTTTACCATGACTTGGCATCAGCAAGATTACATAGAGGTTTTGCAATTTCCATTTTTCATCTGCTCACACTTGAATGCTGAGTAGCTTGTACCTTGTTTTATTTGGGGAAGTAATGGATATCATCCAAAAATCAATAAAGAATGTACTTCAGAAGAAAATCCATGCTCATATCACAGTATTTTCTAATCATTGCCATGGGAAAATTGACTTAATACAGAGCAGTAATTATATTGACAATAATTTTGTTGAGCCACTTAGTATTTTTTTGTTATCTTCCATGGAATTTTACAATGAATATTCCATCAATTCTATTTAATTGAATTAGAGTAGAAAAGGCCAACAGCTCGGTAATTCTACTGCGATCTTGATATCCTTTGCTTAACTGGGTACTTCCCAAGATGAAAAATTATGGCTTTGCTCCTCTCCCTCCCAAAAAGGCTAAAATCAGAGAGTTATTTGCTTTCTCTCTGGTTATCAACAGACCAAAAGAGATGATTAAAAAGAAATACTTATTTGATCTACCTGATTCTTAGCAAAAGTTCAATCAAGAAAAAATTTTGCTCTGGGAAACAAATTTTCAAAATTGATTTTTCATTTAGCCCTTTATGATAATAGCTGTCTATTGTGTACTTAATATATGATTATATCAAAGACTGAAAGTCAGCCAAATATCCTCATTGAGAAATACATAGAATCACTTTGTACTTATTAACACTTGATACTAATGATCTGTGGAGTAATAAATGTGGCAGAGTCATTCCTAGGCAAAATAGAGGATGTCTCAACAGTGCTGTGGTATTGTTTCCTTAGTTAAGTTTTTTGTTGTTGTTTTTTCAGTAAAGCTTAATTTAGTCTTACAAACTTCAAGGGATAAAAACTGTGTTCTGGGCCATAATTCTGTATGCAGACTTTTTTTCTTTTTAAGCCCTGTGTAATAGTTTTATGTGTCAACTTGACTAGGCCACAGGGTGCCCAGATACGTGGTTGAACGTTACTGTGGGTGTGTCTGTGCAGGTGCTTCCAGATGAGCGACATGTGGGTTGGTAGACTGAGGAAAACAGTTTTCCCTCCCTTGTGTGTGTGGGCCTCATCCAATCAGCTGAAGGTCTGAATGGAAAAAAAGGAGAACCCTCCTGGGAGTAAGGGGAAACTCCTCCTGTCTAGCTCCTTTGAGCTGAAAGGTTGGTTTTTTTCCTGACTTTGGACTCAAAATGAAACATGAACAACTCAAAAGAACATTATTAATTTGTTAATAGGATTCTGTACTGGTAAATGGTAAACTATAAACTTTGCCATACCAAAGGATGCCAGATTGTTGTCCCAAGAGTAGCCACGTCAGCATCACCTGGGAACTTGATAAAACATAATTTCAGGACCCAACAACTTCCTGTCCAAAACTCTCTGGGAGAGGGGCACGTTCCAGTTTTCTGTGTTTTAACCAGAACTCCAGGCAATTCTGATGCTCAGTACAGTTTGAGAACCATGGCAGCAGCCAAGGCCCTGGTGTAGTAGCGTAAGCCACACCCCAGGAGGCAGTCTGTCCAGGGATGGTGGCCTACCCAGGTTTCAGATGATAGCTGCTTCATGTTTGTGTACGAAATAAATTTATTCTGAATTTTGCTCTTTGACTATGTTAGCAACAGCTAATAGTGAATGGTTCAGCAGTCTAATAAAGAAAAAAACATAAATTTTATAGAAGCAACTTAATAACATGTCTGAAAAGATTCAAATTCAGTAGGTTGGTACGTGATGCTCCCAACATCTGATGCCACAGATCCTGCAATGGCATGAGTTTGCCAGCCCGGTCTGGTGCCCTCTAAGCGAGCTCCACGGGAACACGAGCCATGCCCACATCTATCCTTGGGTATGGGAAGGGCAGAGCCTTGTAATATGGCCTCAGAATCACAGTAATAAGAGGACATGGATTTAGTTACCCTAATTTGGCCTGTAATTTAAAATTGGGCAAATGTTTATGGATGCTTTCTTTTGGAAAATCTAGGTTTGCCTTGTGGTAAAATGTCAATGTAATGTAAATGACAGCTCTTACTGATGGAGCAATCCGTGGCTCAGTGGATACATCTACATATGCCCGTCATCCAAAAGGCGCCAACTCATTGACCTAAAGAGAGAGATACAGTCCCAATTGTGGGGCAGCTATAATATTTTGAAATCTTTAACATCCCTGTCTTCCCTCATCCTCCTCTTTTTTCCAATCTTCTACTATAATTGGGACCTTAACTGTCACTTTCCAGATGGCTTGGATTTGAGGCTTCAAATTCCAATTTTGGTCAACGAAAGTGAGGTTGCAGTCATGACTCTCCACTGTGAGTCAGTGTATACACAGTTGATTGTGGGTTGGGCCATGGAAATACATGGAGTAGAAGGGAATTAGGAAGGAAGCAAGACCATCAGGATATGCAGATGAATTAGCACTGATAGAGCAGATACTATTCCACATTTGTTCCCAGTCTATATTAATAGAAATAACTGCAAAAGATGGCTTACTATTACTATTTTTTATTTGCTTGCTTATGCTGTCTCAGAAATGTAATTTCTGATAGTATTCAATTATATTTACGAATGTTTGAGTGCCTATACCAGCATGGTGCTGATGAGCGCAGACCAAGGGGTTAGAAGACATGGGCTAAGTCTCATCTTTAGCACTTATGAGGCCTTTGATTTTGAGCAGTTCATTAAGTTCAGTTAGGTTTCAGTTTCCTCACCTACAAAGTGGGGATAATAATGATCTCTACCTCATTCCATAATTGTGGGGATTCAATGAGGTGACTGACACATGCTCTCCGTGGTGACGCGAAAGCATGGTAAGCGTGGATAACAGGCTCTTTTATCATTATTGTTCTACCTCCGTGGGGGAGTTAATATTACTTTAAAACACCTTAGTACATGAACCAAAGTCATAGCACTTTTAGTTTTCTAAAAAGTCAATTTTACAGTCAAATACTTTTATTTCTGGATGGTTTCCAACACACTCTCAAACTCCCCTTTCTCTTTATTGTGTTTTTTGTTTGTTTGTTTGTTTTGTTCAAGGACAGTTTTACTTTAGAGACTTTCCAAATGAATTTTTTCCTAATTACTCCTTCCTATGGAGTAATGTGGCTTTGTAATATATTTTTCTCATTACTATTAAACTCAAATGTGATTAAACATTATCCAGCCACAGAATACTCAAGTTGCATTTCTTGTGACTTATTTATAGCTTGGATCTGCATTAGGAATTCTGGGACTGAATCAGGTCCTCAGCCTAAAAAGAAACAGAGTCCATGTCAAAATAATTATTCTAAGAGAGTGGCTTACAGTGAGAGGAAAAAAAAATTAACTTTTTGAGGGAGTCTAACTAGAGCGTGTAGAATATTATTGGC